TCTGCTGTCGGGAAACCGGCGGACTTTACCGAAGTAAAGGCAAAAAAAATTCAAAGCGAAAAAAACCCGACGGTTATTTGTGTTGAGCGATTTCGTTTTTTTTTTTTTTTTTTTTGCCGACGGTGTAGCGGGCCCTTTTTCAAAGTCTTCGTACAAGCCCGAGGACGAGGGGGAGGGGAGGAGTGGGTTACGGTTTCAACTCCCTCCCAGAAATTTTTAAAGTAGGTAAGTGTATATTTAATAATACAACAATACGGCTAACTACAAGTTCATGCGGTAGAAATTTGTTTAAACCCTCCCTCGCCCCCGCGAAAATTGATATGATCCGGAAATGATCCGGATATTACATGCTCGTCGTCGAAACAGTACCCTTCATTTGCCCCCGTAAAATATTTTATCGGTTTTCGGACCCGGACCTCCGAAATCGACTACGCAGCTCGATCGGGGAGGAGGAGCTCGGGGCTCCTCGCCTGTTTTTTTTTTCCAGCGTCCTCTTATATAATAAAATATTTCAATTTGTTTTTACTATATTAGCAGAGTTTGTTGTTATTATCTGCAGACCAATTATCGCGATGATATCTCGACTATACCGGCTGAAAGGCGGCGAACCGACGAGTAGAAAACCTGCGATTCGAACACTTATTCGAAACAACGTTCGTAATAAAATATACATAAATTATATTTTCGGATTTTATGGTTTGAAAATAAAACCTTAACAAAGCTGTATACGCATTAGTCAAAGTTATCAACAATTTGTCTATATAGGAGTCAGGTTTCATAATACGCTCTATATTTATATAATGTATAAACATAATCAATTTGTAATGTATTTACCGAATAACATACCGCACATTATCTCGGAATTACACTAATTATGAAATGTATAGTTGATAACGATTTTAATTGAGATGGTTTGGGTAGAGAGAGGAATCTGAAGCAGTAAGAATTGTAATGAAAATAAACAAAGGAGGAAAGAGATGGAGAGGAAAACCAAAACAGAGGTGGTTGGATGCGATTGAGAATAATATGAGGACATCGGTGTATGCGCGCACCTTGACAGACTCCAAATAGTTGGGATAAAAATGAAGTTGAAGAAGAAGATAGATGATAATAATTTCACAATCATAAAATCGATAGCAAATGAATATGCGTGGTAAAATTACTATATTGAATAAGCCAGCGTTTCTTAACCTGGGGGTCATATCAGTCAGAAATAATTAAAAGCTGAAGTAGAAAAACAAACTTTTATTTACATTAAAAATAAAAAATGATACATACAAAAAGTTAGTTTATACTACCTATACAATTAATAATTCTAACTACACAAATCTAGCAAAACGCACTTATTTAATATTTTATAATAACCATTATTTATAATAATTATTTTATACTAATATTTTATTTGCTTCCAACGGTACAAATAGTGAGCAATTGAAAATAATTGTCGCGACTCAATAAAACACGTAAATTATTTCTCGTATCTCGTCGATAGATGCGGCCACCCATCACCAATATATTTCCGACCTATTAATAAATACCCACTCGAAATGATCTCGTATACTAGTTATGATATGACTGGTTAATGATATATTTTATAACTGGTCAAACAGATACAAACTTAAATTAGTTTTCATTATAGAATTTTCGAAAATATCCGATAATTAAATGAAACATTCGACAGTTCATTCAAACTATTGAAAACCATCGATAATACAAACTATTCGGAAGTGTGCAATGTACATCATTATAGTGATCACCTATATAATATCGAATGTCGATGTTATTTCAACGTAAAAATAATTGATCTCCAATTAGATTCCCATATAAGTCCATTAATATTGATAATTTCGTCGTGAAAGTATTTCAGTCCGCAAATTATTACTTGGCAAATAATATAAAATACATAATAATTATATTAGTCCATATAAAAGAGACATGTTATTGTATTATAATAACGATGAACATTAAAATTGCATACTCAGTACGCCGTTCTACACGAATATTTTCTATTGACACGTACAAAATGATTTGTTTTTATATTCCAAAAATTTCAAAGACAATTCAAAACTGTTCAATATTTTCCGTGGTGTAACTACATAATATCGCGATTCTCCAAATATTCATGGACTACACAAAAAATTAAGCAAATCATAATAATACGAATTTATCTTTGATTCCAGAAAAGAAAGAACTTGGGAAATATTTGTTTGTATATTAGTTTGTCTTGTGTAAATTGTGTCCCGACTTTTGGTTTTTCTAAAACTATACAAAATTGACTTGAAAAGAGTTTAAAGATCCCCGGGCTGGGATCAACGATATAATAATATGAATCCCTTGAAAAAATAACATGTTGGTATAAATGTTTTACTTTCGTTTAATTGTAATATTTTTTTTTATTTTTTTTTAATATAGGTAATTATTGTTATGAAAATAAAATGTTAACAATTTAAAATCTCACAAAATTATCATATTGTATGCAAATTTGTAAATTATTATTGTATGTGTATGCTTATTTCTTGCGGTATTTTTATTTTATGTTTTTTTATTAGAGCTTTTTGATCGCGCGATTTGATTTATATATTTTTTTATGTTACAGGTACAAATAATTACTACTACAGATTTTGTTCATTTTACAAATATCATATTATATAAGGCTGAACATTAACGAGTTAAATAGGTAAAAGTAAAATTATTTTCAATTTTTAACCACTGATTTTGAAAGATCGCCCCTTAAAAATTCCAAAAAGAACTTCCACAATGCGACAACTAAATAAAATTTTCTATCAAAATAGGTGCTACACTTGATACATCAGAGTAAGATTTCTGATAGAAAAGTTACTCACAGACACACACATAAAAAAAAACACACATCCATAATATAATCAACAGATATCCTCCGAATCTAAAACAAAATTGAAAATAATAAACCATTATTTCTGTAAACTTTCCCGTTCTTTCCATGTTTTCTTAGGGTTTTGCTCAATTATTAAGAAAATTATACAGAAATTTAAAAACGACTTTCTTACTCGCTAACTAGATCTAAAATTCAATAAAAAAAATGGTATCTCGTCGTTTATCGATTGGAATAAGATTTCTGGTAGAAAACATAATTCACACAAATTTAATGTAATGTAATTGTACTCCTTAAATTTGTCAGTTTTCATTTTGTATTTTTTTCTGATTTTTTCCAATTATAATAACTGCTTAGAAAATCAAAAAAACTATATACTTACTCACCAACTATAAAAATAAATGTTAAGTATTGGATTGTACGTCACAATTAAAATTATTTTACTATGTATATTAACTTGGCAAGCATATGTGCATGATAATTTTTTTGGGGATGGTCCTTAAATGTTTATTTTTAAATTCTATTAGTATACAATTTATTTGAACATTCAAATGTGTGTGAGAAAAAAAACGTATACAGATTTTGACTCTATGAGTTTCCTGACAGTTCAGGTGAATCTAGTTATAGGTCTCGGGATTGCTCCTCAATTTTCGGTAAATATAATCTCACATCAAAGTTCTTTCCACTTTAACCACGGTGAATATCATATACGAATATCGTGATATAAATTAACTTAAATGAGTTAATATTATTCATGGAATTGTTCAGCCTTGACTGTATATATATATATATGAATACAAGAGTAAATCCTATATAATGAGGTTTATAATCCTAAAAAGGCCACTAATAAGTAATTTTGAAAATGATTAAAATGAAAAATACACGAGCAATTATCCCTATAATAATATAATTTCTTGGCTGTCTATATTACATTATTATGCTTAATACAAGGTCTTTATAATGTATTTTTCTCCGTGAATACGACCAGGGACAATGCAATTTCCGAGTTGCCAAGGATACTCCGGAATTTCACGAAAATGTACAAAAACATTAAAATAAAATAATAAATAATGGGGTTGTTTCCACATCAATACGATCTACGATCAAATACAAACAAACAAACAAACTAGTTCAAAAATCGTAAAATAGTCCATTTTCCGGACTCAATCATTTCAAAAATAGAAATCGATAAACAAATTAAAATTTAACGCGTTTTCCTGTTTCCGCCCTTATGCCATTATTTTTAAAGACACTCACTTCCTTGTATGTGATAGCCAAATTAAATAATAATTAATGTTTTTTTTTTTTTTATTATTAACCCTAAAATAGACCAAAAAAAAAAAAATCAAATTTCCTTCAAAAAGTACCGAAAAACCCATGTCATCTACCCCTTAAGGGTTAACTTTCGAGAAAAAAGTGGTCTTCCTCTTGATGTTTTTATCGAGATCGGAATAAAAATATACATTTTTATAGCGGACAGGCAGACTGCAAACGTGCACATAAACAGAATTTCAATTTTATATAATATATGACTTCACTATGACGCCTTAAAATTATTATCGTTATGTCATTATATTATATTAGCGAGCTCTCGGCCGCCAACTAATACGCGTCCATTTCTGAATTCTTATATGTACCGAAATGGTGGTTTATGGTATTAAATTAAATCGCACCAAGCAGACTGGAAACATATTATTTTTCCTTTGTCTTACATCGTACAGCAGTACAACGAGCATAGGTGAATTCGTGAGCAATTAATTAATGATTAGATAGGTAGGTACCTACCTATACTGCTAGCAAAATCACGACCCAATGTAAACATCGCTATTTTTAAATAACCGATGACGTACGCGGGAAAATATA